TGGCAACGCGGAAGGGGGCCGAAGGGAAGACCGCAGTAGGCCCGGTTGGGCTGGGCCGCGCGGGGGGCTGCTTTGCATACGATTTGCATATGCAGATCGCCAGCTCTCCTTCACCCCCTCTCTGTGGGGACGGCCCCCGCCATGTCAGGGACCCCTCGGGCGCTGTGCCAGGCCGGCCTGGGGCCAGGGGGGTCCCCTGCCAGCTCCCTCCCTGCAGCTCACCTGCCCCCTGCTCCTCCTCCGTCTCTGGGAAGTTCAACACGGGCACAGCTGTGGCCACCTGCAAGGACACTCCGTCCCCAAGCTGTGCTCAGAGGCTGCCTCTCCCCGCCACAGCAAAACAGATTCAGGTGGTTCTGAGCTCGACAGGCGCTGGAGGACAGCGAGCAGGGCTCCGGCCGTGTGCAGGAGAGCGAAGGTTCCCCTCCACAGAGGAAGAGGGCAGCGGACAGCAGAAGGAAGCCTTGTTCCCCCTCGCAAGGCCTCAGAGATCACGCTGGATCCAAACTTCCTCTTCCAGTGAGGGCAGATGAAAACATTCGAGTTCTCCAAAGATCTCGGATGTGTAAGAAAGGGCAGACACAACAGAATGGGAATGAAGCCAGGAGGTTTAGGAGGAGAGACAAAAAAACAAGGGTCAAGGATTGGGGATACATTCAGACCCAGTCCTCGTCTCCCCTAGATATCACAACGTAATGAAAGTGCTGATACATCCTGTTCTGTAAACTCTGCCTCTGTGATTGTCACTGCTGAGCGAAACACTACAGCAGCAGCCACCCCAGAAAAACTGGGGTGACCATAACGAGGGGTGCAGGCAATGATCAACAGGAGGAAAACAGTCTCCCAGACTATATTGTGCTGTGACAGCTGCCATTGTAACACGAAGGAGGTTCCTAGGTGGAATGTTAACTGATGTCTAACATACCTAGAGCACAGCCAAGCGTGAAACTGTGACCCAGTGACCCACAGTGCTCTTCACCTGCACCGTGGTAATCTCGGCTCACCGCAATCCTCAGGCATTAATTCGATACCAAAGGGATAAGCAACCGACATTCAAAAAAGGTGTAATCATTTCAGTAAGAACTTTCTGGATTCTGGTTGCTGTGGTGAAAACAGGACAAAGAGATTGGTCAGACTTAGTTTGTATCATTTTAATATCCTGTTGGGCAAGTGAAGGAAGCATATAAATAGGGATCGTGCTGATACGAGATAAAACATAACCTCTGAATAAAAATGACCCTTCTTCATAAAAGTGTTAAAAACATTCATTAAAAAGCGAACTCGCTGAGCTTCACTGCCTGAAGTTCAGAGTATTGTCAATAACAAGCCCTGAATGTGTTTCATATACCTGGGCTGCGAGCACAGAGCTCTAGCTGGGAGAGCAGAAAACGAAGAGAGCTGGCAGGCTGTGAACACACAACAGAGCCCTCGGGAGCCTCTTCTGTAAAAGGCAGCAAGGAGAGGGCACAGCCCCCTCTGGGTATGGCCCTCTTTCTCCAAACCCTTTTCCAGCTTGCAATCGTTTGCAGCTCAGATCTCTGCCCAAAAGCCTTTGATTCATTTCTCTTCCCAGAGCTTGTCCAGTTCCTCTTTGGCAACCACAACATCCCGAGGAGACAACTTCTGCAGCTCAGCTGTAGGCTGCACCAAGAACCACCCTCCCTGTGTTCACCCTGAACCTGCCGTCTGGGCTTCCAACGACCCGCCACCATGGGAATCCTCTAGACCAGGACCTCCGCTTGCTCCAAAACAAGGCCTGGAAACTGTCCCCAAATCCTGTCCCCCTCTCCCTGGTATGGACTGATGGCCCCTTGGCACTGTCTGAACCTACCCTAAACCCTGGGAGGTCACCTCTCGTCTCGGGGATGCTGGAAGAGGAGGTGTCACCTTGACATGCCCAACACACAACCCCAAAGATCAAAGCAAGGGTCTTACCAGAACTGGTTGCCCAGAGGTGGGCCGAGGAGGAAGAAGAGGCAAGGAAGCCGAATTCCTGGCACACGCTCCATGATATGCACACAAGGGTTATCAGAGAAATCCAAACACAGCTCCACAGCAAGGGAAACTGTCCCAGCTCCCACAGATGAAGTTGCTTGAGATTGCACATGGCAAAAGTTGTACCGACAGCCTTCTCTAAATAAACGCACTCGTTGTTTTAAATGGGAAAATCAGGGTGCATGAACTCAGCAACCCTCTCAAAAAAAAAAAGAAACAAAAACAAAAAAAAAAACCCCAAAAAACCAGAGGAGGGCTGTCTGGATCCCTCTTTGCAGCCTCCACTCCCTGAGAAGGTATGTTGGGTGATTTAATTCTCCAGCCAACTTCTACTTGAAAGCTTTCCCTGCTCCACAGAGGCTTCAAAAGCTGACATCCATCCCCCTCATCTTACAAACACAAACAGCAACCTCACAACTCGAGTGTGGAGTGGCAAACAATTTTATTATGCAGTTAGTAAAAGGCTTTTTTTCTTCTTTTAAAAGATTTGCAGGGACAAAGTACCCTCCTGCAGCTTCACCTGCTGATTACACTTTTAAAGTGCTTCATTACAACTGTGAAAATACCGGCACTTCACAGCAGAAAACCCAACGGGTGCTTTTATCGAGTCTGAAGTGGTAATAAACCAGCTGTTTCACAAGAGTGATTCAACGTGAAAAGGCAAAGCGTACAAGCCATCGCTAAAAAGTGCCGTGAAGAATTCTGCAGGCAAGTAAAGCATCAGAGAAGAGGGCCTTGGTTCAGATGCTGCTGGTTTGGAATCTCATGGACATCCTCTGAATCACGCAGAAAATGCATGGAGAAGGCACATGCCCCCTCTCTAATGAATTTTTGGATGGATTCTGCAGGCTAGTGCACTCTGCTTTACGGTATGTATTCAGTGCAATATTCAGTAGTAAACACGAGCTTTTTAACAAGGTGAAAAAATCTGGGGAGATTTCCTTAGCTGCTGCAAATAAAGTGCAATTCTTAATGCTGAAAACTGGAGCTTTCCTGGGGAGGGGACACACCTCTACAAAGCCCTCACTGACAAAATTACGAAAGCAGAGTTAAAAAAATAGCTTACTGGGGACTGCTGCTGGGGAATTCCAAGTTCTTTCGGCCAAGTCAGCATTTTATCTTCAAAAGGGGACAGCAGCCCCCATGTTCCCTCTCCCAGCAGAGGAGGTTGGGTGTATTTAAAAGCACTTGTCTTTCCTCCAACAGATAAAGTGCTGGCAAAATTAATGCCTCACTATGGCATATATTTATTGGTTTTATCATTTAAGGGAGGCACTTCTTGCATTTTTGAGCAAAGGGAAAGCATTAGGAAGGAGGAGCAGCCAATGGACCATTCTTACCTCCTGCCACAGCTCCCCTGTTACCCCCCCCAGCAAATCACAGGAGGGTGGGAACACCTGAAAGTCTGTGCTGGAGTCTTTAGAGCTTAAAAAAAAAAAAAAAGAAGAAATCCTCTAGCTACAATAACCCCCTAACTACAGAAAAGTAGTTTTGTTACTTCGGTGCCCCTGTGCTTTTGGGAGGGAGTAGATGGGAGATGGCGAACAACCTGCAGCCGTGGGCAGCGCGGCTGGGGATGGCCAAAAGCCTTGAGCTAGAAATCCATCCCAGCAGCGACTGGGCAGGCGCGCTTCTGCCCCTGAAAGCTCCCCTGGGCAGGGGGAAGCTGGGGATGTTTATTTGGCTTTGAGGATTTTATCTTTGAAATCTTGCAGCCCAATCCTGCTCACACTCCAAGCTGATCTCTGGGGTCAGCAAGGAAATTATGGGCTCGAATTTTTAATGGGACCTTCAAGATAACCCAGAGCATCTCGACCACCGGGTGTGACCTTCCTGCAGTGCACAGAATCGACTCTATTTGTGTCTCAGCCTGGACACAAACTTCCTATATTCCTATCCCATAGTACCAGATATCAGGAAAAGTGAGAACTACATCCACCCGTCTAGCCAGCCTCAAAAAATCCAGCCTAAAGATCAAACTCTCCTGTGCAGGACCGAGTCCGCTTAACGCTGGCATTGCACAAAACATTCCCCTTAAAGCGTAACGCCGCTTTCCCTGCCTGGAGGGGGGTGAAATGAGGGTGATCCTCGAGAAAGCTGGTCAGATGTGGCTCTTTCCTGACCCTCAGCTTCATCCCCAGGGTGTCAGTGCTGCACAAAGTGATCCCAGAGCCCATCCCTAACCCTCAGGAGCAGGCAGGATGCTCCGAGTAAAGCACCGAAGCAGGACAATGGCTCCCAGGAGAGGGGACAGCATCGGGGTCCTGCCCACGCACCCAGCACCGGGGGAAAGGAGCAGCAGAGCCAGAGATGTCAAGTAAGGCAAATTCAACACGAGGTGCCTGGTGAAGGCACGTTTTCAAGCTGAGATGGGCAGAGCCAACAAAATCAGCTCCACTTTTACAGGATGTCTGCAAAACCTCTCAATGGGTGTAAAAGGAGAAAGCTGCGAACAAGGTAGTTGGGAAATAGGGGGGAACAGACCCAAACCCAACAGCATCACGCAACCAAGGCCTCTTCCAGCAAAACCTTCCACAAAGGGATTTAAGAACGCCCCCACCATCCCCCCCACTGCTCTTCAGACTTCAAATGTGTTGGAAGCATCCCCCAAATTCCTGCTACAAAGAGGAATCGCCCCGGCTGAGTGACAGTCGTGGCATCCCATCCCCTCCAGCGCTACTTCTGCAACCGAGTATACACCAGGAACGCCACAGTCGACAGCAAAGCGATGCCCACAGCTGGAAAGATGTATGGCAGGGACAGTCTGTCGCTGTCCCCTGGGGGATCTTCGGCCTGAGACGAGCTGGTCGCAGTGTCCTGGCCCCTGCTTGAGTCAAAAACTGGAGGGTTTCCAAAAGAACCAGCTCCGTCTCTGAGATCGCTGCCAGCCCCGAGCTGCGTGCTGGGGTAGTGGTCCACGCGGACCTCGTGGGTGAGGGGCTGTCCCAGCCCGGAGGGGGGCGGGAATCTCTGCTTGCTCCAGCTGCCTCCTCTCCCCCAGGGTCTTCATGAGCTGCTGGAGCTGGGCATCCTGCGGAGACTCTGGAGAGCTCTCCTGAGCTGGAGCTATCCATGCTCACCATGAGCGGGTCGCTGCTGAAGCTGAGGCTACCAGACGTGCCGCCAGGCCCCTGAGAGCTCAGGCATCTGCCAGCCGCCACTGGGCTCTCCCCAGCCACGGAGAGGAGGATGCCCGGCTTGCTGGGCTCCAAATCATCCCTCTCCATGTTGCTGCAAGGCGCCCAGATGGTCGTGGTAGAGCTCACCCGGGATGCCGTCCTCCCAAACGTGCCTTCAGAGCTTCGTGCAGCAGCCGGGAGAGGGTCTGCCGAGGCTGGGAGCACCTTTGGGAGACAAGGAGAGGGGCTGAGTGCCATGGGGAGCATTGCTTGGGCGTTCATTTCACGCAACAAGCCCATTTCAGTGCTCAACCACCACATCTCTGGCCGCCAGCAGCAAGGCTGGGTCACAGGTAACTCCTCGGGGTGGGAGAGCGAGCGGGGCAGGGAGGTGTTGGGGCTCCAGGGAGTCTTTGGGATTTGGGGGAGATATAGGGAGGAAGGGGAGAAGGGGAGGTAAGGGAGGAAGGGAAAGGAGACAAGCAGCCAGGAGAGGGGTGGAGATGGACGGAAGGAAAGGAGGAAGGGGGGGAGGACAAAAGGAAGGAAAAGGAGACAAGCAGTCAGGAGAGGGGTGGAGATGGGCACCTGGAAGCCAGGAGATTGACTGGCAAGTCAAGGGGTGGAAGTAAGGAGTCAAAGCCCCACAAACTTTGGTGCCCTTCTCCCATGCTCCAAAATACAGCATCTGGACCAGGACATGAACACAGTAGGGGAAAAAAAACCCTGAGTAAGCTCACCACCAGCTCAAAATCTTACACTGCAGGAGAAAATCTCACGACCAGGGGGAGTTTGTGAGGACCTGAATGAAATGCAAGTGGCAATGGAAAGGTCACCTACTTTCTCCTTCGTCGGCATGAAGGGGGTGCTGCTGGCCATCTCCCCCATGGGAAGTTTCTTCTCTTGTATCAGTGGCTTCAGGGAGGTGTCGCAGGATGGGGAAGCGTCTCTGGCTACAAGCGTATCGACCGTGGTAGCTGTTTCCATCCAAGTGTCTGTCGGGGGAAAAAGCAAAATGTATTGCGTTAATCAGGAGACCTAAAAGGTGAGTTTTGCTCTTTCCCAAGGACGCTGCAGCAGAATAATCCCTGAGCTGAGGACGTTGGACAGGGAGCAGGAGGCAGTGCTGCTGGGTGCTGTCCATGTCACCCTGTCTCTGCCGCGGCACCTGAGCTCTT